ATCATGTTATCGCGGTAAAAAAACGTTCTTCCACTCCCTTCAAGGATCAAAACTTGAAACCACCAGAGTAGATCCAGAGGACAGTAGATCAGAAATGTCTCTATTAGAAAAAGTAGAAAGTAGAAATCGTTTTAGTAGTTTTTAATAGAAATCTCCCTTACAATAAAGGCAGTATAGTATGCCCGTGTGTCATCTCCAATAAATGGCTTCAACCATCCTTTAAACTCAGGGTTTGATTCCCACTCCTTTCTGTACTTTTGTGAATACAGTTTAGACTGTGACATGATGACCTACGTGGATGTTTAGCTTGTCACAGAGAGGCACACACACAGTGGACGAGGTGATTAAGTGACTGAAGCTGTCTCGACCATAGACTGTATATATAAAGGTCTCGACGCGGGAGTGTGGCTGTCTCCTCTCTGCTCTGACTGCAGCTGAGCTGCTGCGGGAGGCAACTGTGAGTCTGCGCACCTGTGAGTACTATGGGAGGGCTGAGGGGCTCACGGCAGCTCGTTAACTGCAGAACAATACGTGAGTCTCCAAACACCAGAAAAGTCCCTAATAACACCATTACAAGTCGTTAGATTAGTCGTTAGTCGCTTTTGACAAAAATAAGTAGCCGGAGGGTTTGGAAAGCCGCCAAATTTAACGACAAAGTCGCCAAGTTGGCAACACTGCTTCATAGTAGCCTACTTGTGGTAGAATTCCAACTAGTACTGAGTCCAACAGTAAAGTACTTCATTGTATTTGTGGTAGTTGTCTAACTGAGTCTAACTCTGTGTAGATGGAACATCCAGTATTTCGGAGGGGCCCTAACGGTACCATCCTCTTGAAAGAAAGGGATATAAGATAGAAGAACTGTAGGAAACAGTTCTGAACTGTTTCCGCCAGTTCTTTAAGTTCGTCGTTCGCGAACAGCTTCTCTTTAGCTTTTGGCGGAAGGCGGCGACTCAAACAAACAAATCGTTTTGTGGGAGGAATCAGTTCATCTCGTTCACTTCAAAGATTCGTTCAAAAAGAAGGAATCGTTCGCAAACGACCCATCACTACTAATGTATGATTAAACATGGATCACAATGCTAGTTTTGACACAGAAGAGGTTGAAAATATATATTCGAATGCATATGATTATAATTATGAGCCTGCTATGCGTCCAAGAGACCAGGAGCAGCCAAGGATTAGAAGAAATAACGGCCATCGGCGAGAAATGGAGCTGTGGTGTGAGGAGAACCAGTGGAGAACAGGGCAGCTGTCTTGGTGAGTGACCGGCGTTAGCTACAGACAGTTAATGTTAGCTAACGTCAGTCACATCACAACATTGGAAAGTTAGATATCATATATCAGGCTATAACTAAAGTAGTATTGATTATATAGTAACGTTACTGGCAGGACTGTTGATACTGATCCAAAACAGAAACTAATGCGCAAGTATCAGCCGTATCTTGCATTACCTAATGCAACTCAACACTACGTCTTACGGCGCTGTGTACCGGACGGGAGATACGGCTGATACTTGCCGATCTGGCGGAGAAAGGTTGTGGAGTCTCCGTTGATATGCCGTTGTAAATGGCTTGATGGTGTGTAGTCGGGGAGGGTGCACAGCTGATTGCAGCAGGTGAGTGGAGGTTGAGCCGGGAGCCAGGAGTGACAGCCACCATGCCCACAAAAACAACACAGACAGGGGGAAACAAACAAACAAACAAACACACACAAAGGAGACGGCTGAAGCAGTACAGCCACCACAGCGTTACCTAATGCAACTCCACACTACGTCTAGCCGCCGTTACAGTGCTGTGTACCGGAGGGGAGAGAGAGAGCAGCGAAGGGGGGGAGAGAGAGATGTAATACGGTTTCCTGTGCTGCAGGAAGGTGGATGCACCTCGCACAACGCACCCAGGAACGAAAGCTAGCTCCGGTCCTTTTCCTGTTAGGGAAACTGTGGACTCGATGTCCTGACAGGCTGGAGTTTGTGCAACCTGCACAAACACAAGGTCACCATGATTACAAATGGTGAAATGTAATGTAAAATTACCGAAACAATACCAGCTCACTAAATCACAACCGCTCAAAACTACAAACTACTACCGCGGATTGGGCAAAAGGAAGGAGTCCGAGAAAGTTGCTCCCCCATGTGACGTAATATGACGCGTTTGACGTATAACGTTAAAAAAAAGCAGTTTTTAGTAGCAGAGCTCAAAACGGCTCCTTTCCCTCTGAATTCCTGCCCTGCCCTTAAGACGTAAAACATATCAAATCCTGCATTAACTTTTTTAATTGTAATTTTCAGGCAAGGTTAAGCATAAATGTAGTAACAAAAAAAACCTGCAAGTTGCTCTTTAACCCTCTGGAGTCTAAGGGTATTTTCTCGATTTTTAGATGTTTTCTTAAATCACCTTTTAAATGTATTTCTTCTAACATGGCACCCATGTGTTACATATCAAAATGTTCAGGACAATCTCTGAGATTGCTATATATGCAAATTACTCACCTTAGAGCACTGTTTGATGAGATAAGTAGCTCAAAAGCTTACATTTTGACATCTGATTTTCGGAAAATCTTCAAAACTTTTGTGAAAACACAAATTTACTCATGTGATCGAATTGTTTTGGTGTTTTAGATTTGGTTACCAAAGTCTTAGGATCACAAAAGCAGTGAAATATTTGAATTACACTGTATATAAATGTGTAATTCATGTCTAAAATGAATTAAATTCGAATTTTGAGTAAAATAGGTGTTTATCACTCTACTTTCACCACAGCAGGGACTGAGATACATTAGGACTGAATAATTACTTCATATTACATACCAAGGTTCATGTGATGTGTACAAATAGAAATTGAGCATTCAACCTTTTTTTTCAACCAACAATTTATTATAAATATGTTTTTTTCAACCAACTATTTATATAAATATAAGAAACTGGAAAATCTAACTATTTACAATATTGAACATCAGAACTTTCAACCAACTATTCATTATAAATGTCAAGACAGTGTCAAGGTCTTTGTCTGTCTTCCAAGACAGTGGGTCTGGCTGCTGTGAAGATGGGGGTGATGGTGGCTGCTGTGTAGGTGGGGTGTACAAGTGCTATACGAGACCTCCACGAGACCTCCTTGCTGGCTGGGTTGAAGGTGGGGGCAGGCACAGATGGATGTTCTGGCTGCTGGATAAAACGCCGGCCCAGGCAGCTGTGAAACATCTCTGTAAAACAAATTAAAAATGTAGAACAATAATTACAACTAATTCATTGAAATAAAGTTCAAGTAAAATGTTGCTCAAGCACAAATAACAATGCACACATAAAAAGAAAGTTTGGGAGGTTGGAGAAGGAGTCTCTCGCTCACACACACCACACACACACACACACACACACACACCACACACACACACACACACACACATCACCACACACACACACACACACACACACACACAACACACACACACACACACACACCACAACACACACACCCACACACACACACACACACACACACACACACTTCCAGTTACTTTACATGCTACGGTGGCCCTGAAGTGCAAGACACTGCAGCATTTCACAAAACGCTACAGCATTTCAGAAAACACAACAGCATTTCACAAAACACAACAGCATTTCAGAAAACACCACAGCATTTCACAAAACACAACAGCATTTCAGAAAACACCACCGCATTTCAGAAAACACCACAGCATTTCACAAAACAGAACAGCATTTCAGAAAACACCACAGCATTTCAGAAAACACAAAAATAACGTTAACACAGAGTAAACGTTTGCTAATGGAGAGTCTATTTTGTCCAATAAAAAGTTCATGACTATCGATAACAAATATATATCAATAAACCTATTGTTCATTTTCGCGGTATTCCCCACACATTGCCAGTACACTATTACTGTAATATTTACACTTACTCATGTCCAAATGGATCCTTGTTGTTGTCTTTGTATTCTTCTTCTTCTTCAGAAGAGTCGAAGACTTCAGGTTCTGAGGCTCTATCTTCATTGCTGCTAGCGAAAAAAATCTCTAGCGAAGTCGGCAATTGTAAAGTTTTTTTTAGCCATTTTCTGTGTCTCTCTCTCTCTCTCTCCTCACAGACCTAAACTGATGGGAGACACGTGGTTTGGGTTTTGTTTACTTGGTGGGTAGGTCCTTAGTGATTTCTCGATGTCCATTGGTCATTTCAGACCATGATGGCTGCCGGTCGAGATTTCCTTGACGGACACACGAATCCACCAATCCCACACAGTGTAAAGTCAAGCTGCTTTGAGCGGCCATATTGGCTGATGTGCCCTGGTTACAGTCTCACAGGAGATACCACTGGAAAGCTACTCTTTCAGAAATTCCGCGGATATCTGAATCATATTTCTACTCCTTATAATCGAAAATATATTATTAATTACGTAAAATTATGTGCACCTGGACGCACTGGCGTCCACCGACTCCGCCAGCGCGTAAGCACATATTGTATACTTAAGTATTTTCACATGTTGCCATTTTATACTTTTTACTCAATACATTTCTTTTTACAGACTTAGTTACTGGTCTCTTTGCAGATTTAGTTTTAAATTAATATATGTTATTATAGGTTAAGTTAGCCAGCCCAGTGTGTGTATAAAACAATTCAAATAAACCCCACCTTTATCAAGTCCAACATTGAAGTTATGAACATATCAATACATGAATAATTACAATATCAATCAATCAATGTTTATTTGTATAGCCCAATATCACAAATGTTACATTTGTCTCGGTGGACTTCACAGTTTGTACAGAATATCAGTATGACAATACAATGATAAACAATATGGTGCTTATTTGTGTCATTCTGTATGGAGGAGTACTTTTACTTTTGGTATTAAAAGTATATTTTGATGCTAATACTTCTGTAGTTTCACTGAATGCAGCCCTGCAGAGTATTTGTATTTGTTTACTTCAGTAAATCATCTGATTTATTTGTCCTAACCCTAACCCTGCTACATTCTTCATTTTGTATTACCTCTATCGGGATTATTGCATCGCGCCAATCTTGAGTCAGGTTTTCCTCAGGAATCAGGCAGTGGTGTCTGGGAATGTCTGTCAGAAAGACAACAGAGAAAACGCCAACTCCATTGGGCACGATGCTGGCACAGAGCAGGAAGAAGACAACCTGCTGGAAACGTCCCCACTGACCCAGAAAAGCAGTGGACTCATCGTAATCCTTCATAGCCTGAGTATTAACTGTCTCCTCCCAAGCTTGCAGACAAATTCCTTTTCCAACTCAACAGAATGAAGACATACAGTTTGCAGTCTCTTAAACTGTGAGATAGCCACACCCTTTACAACCATGCATACCAACAAAGACATAAAAAGGAAGAATTTTACAGCATTTCTCGAGCAATAATTTCCTCTTAGGTCTGCTGTTTAATATCTCAATCTTTATTTATTTATATAGTACATTTAGAACAACCTTCAGTTGACCAAAGTGCTGTACAGGCAATAACTACAATATTAAATAACAATAATAATAATTGAATTGCCTTGTGTTGAAAGGTGCTATATAAATAAACTTGCCTTGCCTTGAAAGTATGAATGAACAGTTAGCAGTTGCAGTCGCATGAAGATTTGTTGAAGTCTTAAGATTTCCTCCATTTCAATGTTAAAAATGTGATGTATTATGGGATATATCTCTGGAATTATGAAAGTTATGAATGAGAAAAGTAATAGCCATCGATTCCCGACCGAGCTGAACGTTTTGATGTTTGAACGGAGTTTCTGCGATGTTCAATGCGGGAGGAGAAGAGGGCCAAAATACCGGCATAATAATACACTTTTCGTCCGTAGAATCAGTTAGTTGGAATGCTGTTAACAGCATTCCCACTAAATTAAAAACATAATAAAAAGCACAATAACTAGAAACATTGTTACGCCCCTCTCTAGAGGTAGAGAGAAACAACATACACCAGTGTGGAATTGGTAAATATTATATGTATTTATTATAATAATAGTGGTAACCAAAATAATAAAGGCGTGCAGCCTGGCACAAAATGCCAAATACTGTTGGCTAACAATCAATGTTTATTTATATAGCCCAATATCACAAATGTTACATTTGTCTCAGTGGTCTTCACAATGTGTACAGAATATCAGTATGACAATACGACACCCTCTGTCCTTAGACCTTCACATCGTACAAGGAAAAACTTCCGTAGAAAACCCACAGTTTAAAGGGAAAAATGGGAGAAACCTCAGGGAGAGCAACAGAGGAGGGATCCCTCTCCCAGGACGGACAGACGTGCAATAGATGCCGTGTGTAAATTGAAAAGATAATACATTTGCAACATAGGTAGTCCAAATGTTTGGAAATGCATGTGTGTATAATAGGAAGATGAATCCACGAGGATATCCATCCAGAACCTATGATCCAAGACCACAGCCACGACTCAAGATCCAGGGTTCGCGATCCAGGTCACAGGACCGCAGCAACAGGATCATCCATGACTCCGGATCCCGGCGTATAAAGACACCAAAAAGAAAGAAATTTGGGGAAGCTGGGTTAATCGGAACATGAGAGTACACAGGTATAGACAGAGAGAAGGAAGAAGTAAGATGTCCCCCGACAAACTAAGCCTATATCAGCTAAACTAGGGGCTGAATCTAATCTAACTATAAGCTTTTATTGAGATTTGTTCTCAATCAACAGAAAGAGAACTCCAAAAGAGAGTTTCACAGGTTGTACGCAGCATAGAGTAATACACAAAAGGAAAACAAAAACCTCACTTCTAAAGTGGTATACGTAAACGAAAAAAGGCTGTACAAAAACACAGCTGCTTGTAATCAACAGGCGCTAACCGCTAAGCTACCCTGGATCCTACTCACACAATTATACGGCAATATCTTACTAAGTACAGAAGCACAGATTGAACATGCTGCTAAACAGTATAGCTTTAACACATAACACAACAGCACTAAACGTCAACCAAACGAGTAAATGCACCAAGAGGCTAGACGCGTCTGTCCCACATCACAGAGCCTCCCGAATGATCTCAGTCCACGGCCTTTGTACTCCTCCCCCGGAAGATGTGCCGGATGCAGGCAGGGATTGGAGGACGTCGATGATCGATCCAATCACCTCTTCGGATACGAGGGCGGGACAGCCAATGACATCGAGGGAACCGCACAGCTCATTTACATACACACACACACAAATATTATTAATAGCACCAGGAAGCCAGCGGCTGTAACAAACATATAAAAAACACATACAAATATAAAAATGTAATGTTCAACTAGTATTAAAAGCCAGTGCAAAGAGGTGAGTTTTTAGCTGAGATTTAAAAAGTTCAATAGACTCAGCAGTCCGGATATGTGCTGGGAGGCTGTTCTACAGTCTGGGAGCTACAACACTGAAAGCCCTGTCACCTCTGGGTTTTTTCCTGCAGCGAGGAACCACCAACATATTCTGCTGAGCTGAGCGCAATGCTCTAGCTGGAGCATGGCGGTGCAACAACTCAGACAGTTGTTTAATGTTGTTATAACTTGCTTTTATCACTGGCTACTAGGCTAGTACAGTAAAAGTTATTTTGCCTTTCATCTGAAACATTCCTTTGCTGCAACACTATTCATTTTCCTAGCCATAGCTGACAGGAATCAAGCACATATAAGCAAGTCACTCTTAAGTCAGTTGTAATAAAATGCAAAGCAATAATTATCAAGTCAATCCAGTCGGAAGGGTTCTCCAAGCCACATTGCTACACATACTCCAATTACTTGTTATAGACTCTCCTTGCAGTATTTATATTCTATTGCATTTGTATTTATTTGCACTATTTTATCTGTTTTATTGTGTTGCACTGTTGGAGGAGCCTGTGACCTAAGATTTTCATTGACATATCTACACTATGTACAAATGACAAAAAAAGCCTTGAATCTTGAATCTGTTTTTTTATTATCCTTATCAGGTTATATATTACAAAGGTTGAAAACGGTATAGTTTATGGATGACATTTTTTGCTGACAAAGCAACCCAACAACAAACATGTGAACTGTGCAACTTTTGTCAAGTGAACATGTTGTGCTGTTCTCTGATGTTAGGTTAATCTTTCACGGCAACACATTAATTAACATTTAACAGGTCACCCTTATAACAGTAATAACAGAAACCTGTCTGTCTCTAGACAAATGCCAGAAATTACTTTAGCCATATCCAGTCTGAAAGTTCAGTCAGGTTATTTATTACCATGGCTAAACATTTTTGGGGAATGCAAAAACTTGTTGACTGGTCACTTGCATTTCCACAATACACAGCGTTTATTAAATGTTTGGGGTTTTTTTTGCATTAAAAAAGGAAACACACCTGTTGCATTCTATCATGAAATTAATGTATGTAATGAAAAAAAAGTTGCAACAGTTATTTGACATTTGACAAAACTTGTGTTATTAAATATTATTGTAAGGATATTTTCTGGTTCCCTTTTAAGCTAACATACATATCCACAAGCAGATTTAAACTTCAAGTTTTCATTCAACCATTTCAGTTACAAAATAGATGTTTGGGAAAATGAAAGAGTGATGTTTTCAAATGGCAAAAAATGTGTTAAACAATGAGAAATGTTAACAATACTAACACAATTCAAAAGCGATATTCACATAATATAACTTTCATTAATGAAGTGCTAGATTGTCAAAGTGGACTTTCAAGATGTTCCAATCGTATTGTTGTTTATTTTCCAGTGCATTGACACTTAAACCTGTTATAAAGCAATAAAAAGGAAGAAAAACATTACTGGCTGCATGGTAAGGACTGTGATTTCAAGGCAAGACATTCATGCTGTGTGATAATAGTGCTCAAACTACAGTTAATGTATTAAGATAATCTCAATCCTACTGGAATCAATAATTATTTGGCATTTTTGCATTAAAACGCTTTTTATTAATTTTCTGTTCATCTTTTTGTCAGTATAGCATGCCAAGTAAAAAGGAACATATTTAAGAGTAACAGAAAGTCAAATGAATAATGTTTTAAAATGTGAATTCTGTTTAAGAAGTACCCCATAGTTATTAAATATGTTAACCATCATTTATTACTTTATATCTAAAAATGAGGTTGGCATTAAAGAAGCTTCATAACTATTTCCTAAGGTACCCACCTTTCTCTCTTATGCATCTGTGTCATAGTTTCAGGTAGAGGTTTTCCAAAACTCTCCGGCAGGAAATAAGCAGCGATGGCAGCCACAACAGCCAGAGTCGACAGTATAATATAAGGAAGATATAATATGTATGTATCTAAAAATTGAAAGGGTAAGGTTTAGATTGGAGAAAAGTCTGGGGGCTTTAGATGAAGTTATGTCAGAGTGTGTGTAAGGCTCTCAAACTTGCTGAAGATATAACAAACTGGACGTGCATTAATGCAGCAAATGCAAATGTACTCACTCAGCTTTATTACAAAAGGTGCTATACATGATCCCACTCTGGAGACAGTCGTGCACGTCCCTATTGCTGTGTTCCTTAGCACTGTTGGGTAAAGCTCTGTCAAGTATGTGAACATCAGGGAGAAAGTAGCGGTAAAAGCATATTTACCGAACATCTCCAGTGCAATACAGAGATTGGGTAGACCTACAGAATAAAGAAATTGTTTGTCAACTGTTGTTTTTCGTTAATAAGATACACAACTGTAGCACTTGATTTTACCCATGTTTGTACCATGAAGCCATTTTCTCCTACAATACAATAACAAAGGTTACAAACCTGATAATTTAAAGTAAAGCATAACTAATTCCTGACTCATGATGAGTAAATGCACAAATCAATGCAAGAGTTATTTCCCTTGTTCACCATTAAATACAAAATCCAGTAATTGAGTTTGTGAGAAGTTCCTATATAATTGTAACAGAGGTAAATATAAAGTATGTTTGGTGAATAGCTTGAATAAATAACAATTGTGAATTTTCTTAAAGATATAAAGCGTTCTCTATATTAAACCTTTGTTCTGAGACTCCCCCCATATTTGTTTTGGGCTTACTTTGAGGCACCAATAGTATGAGGTAAAGCGGCATTGCTCCAAGAAGCAAAGAGGAGATGACAGACGGTCGGCGGGGAAGGTAGTGCAGAATCAGCCAGCTAGAAATGTAGGCTGGTACCTCTACAGCTGCTGAGATGAAGCAGCTGATGTAGGGGTTAGCATGAAGCTGAGCTGTGTTCAGGGACAGGCCAAAGTATCCTGTTGTTGAACAGAAGCTGGGTAAGACAAAGACACCAACGGATCGGAGATGATTGAATATATCAAAAAAAGAACTGTTAAGAAAATAGAATGAATGTATATTTGAGTGATTAGAGA